CTTGACCCTTTAGAGGCAGTGTGCAGTCTTCTCTATTTTTGTAGACTCACACTTTGCACCTTCCTCTGCCCTAATTTATGTTTGAGAAAAACTCAAAAATGTCAGGAAGCTTATCTTCATTATATACATCTAGCCAACATCAGAGCTGAAGCACTCCCAGCCTAGTGGTCTTTTTAGTAGATCACACTTCTCCTTCAAAACTGGAAACATTTCAGAAATGCATTTATCAATTTTGATACTAATAACACAAGAAATTTTCCAGGACAAATTAATAAAATTTTGCATAATTATCTCACTGGAGTATTTACTTGTTCGCTTAAACTCAGTAAAAGATCTTGCATCTCAGGGCTGGGTGCAGTGGCTCATGCCTATAATCCCAGCACTTGGGAAGCTGAGGTGAGTGGATTGCCTGAGCCAAACTGAGACCCCCATCTCTAAAAATAGCCAGGCGTTGTGGCAGGTACCTGTAGTCCCAGCTACTTGGGAGGCTAAGGCAAGAGAATCACTTAAGCCCGGAAGTTTGAGGTTGCCGTGAGCTATAACGCCATAGAACTCTACCAAGGGTGACAAAGTAAGACTGTCTTTAAAAAAAAAAAGAGCGAGAGACCTTATATCTCACAAGCTCAAATTTGCTTGCTGCATAAACTTTGGTATATGTATATCATGGAATGCTATTTGGCCTTAAAAAAGGTGGAGACTTTGTATCTTTTGTATTTACCTGGAAGGATTTGGAGAACATTCTCCTAAGTAAAGTACCTAAAGAATGAGAAAGCAAGCATCTCATGTACTCAATAGGGTGTTGAAACTAGCAGATCAGTAACTACAGGTCCACAGGAGAGAAAAACACAATTAAATTCAAGAAAGGGGAGAGAAGAGGGGTTCAGTAAGTTCTGACCTAACAGGTACAATGTGGGAGTATATGGCACACTTCCTGGGTGAAGGACTCACCTGCAACTGGCACTTTACTTTACAAACACAAACAATGTAACCTAATCATATATACTCTCATGTTAATCCCAAATTAAAAAAAAAACTTTTTTGCCTGCTGCATGGAACTCTGTTCCTAAATATGCTTACTGGCTTGTTTAATTGCCTTCTACGTCTCTGCTCAAGGGTCACCTTATCAGTCAGGCTTCCTAGACCTTCCATTTAAAACAGTAGCATCTTAACCTTTGGCATCATCTTCTTTCCCGTCTTCATTTTTCTCTGTAGCACTAATCACCCTCTGATACTATCCATGTACATATGACTGATTTACTCTTTTCCCTCACTAGAATGGAAGCTCTTTGAGCAGACAGATTTTTATTTTGTTTTGTTTTGTTTTCCAGCTGTATTCACTGATAAACCTCTCCAGAGCCTACAATGGTGGCTGATATTTAGAAGAACTCAATAAATATGTGCTAAATGAATGAATGTAT